CCCCAAAACCCCAAAACCCCAAAACCCCAAAACCCCATTTTATATAATTACTGGCTAAAATATAAAAGATTTCACTCTTTCAAAGATGCTCTTTGACTCTGTATTGATGTCCCCAGGCTTATAATCAGGCTTCTTACCCCAAAACCCAGCTTTACGGTCCCCAATGATTTTATAGTCAAGCTTACGCTCATTAAAATCTCCAAGAGAGTCCATATTTCCAGAGAAGAGGCCTTGAGACTTCTCAATGTCCTTAAGTTTTTCGATAACACTTCTTTGTGTTTCTGTCAGATCTTCTGGAACTATTATCTTAAATTTTATGATGTGATCTCCTCTCTTATCTTCATCTGGGTACATATAAGGGGCACCATAATTTTTAAGCACATATCTTATTGTGATAGTATACTCAGGCTCGAGCGATATCTCCTGCTCTCCATGCAATGTTTCAATTTTTATCTTACTTCCCAGGATTGCCTGAGCAATAGTTATAGGAACTTCTGAAATAATATCATAGCCATTCCTTTGAAATGACTCATGATCTTTGATAATTATTGAAGCAATGATGTCCCCAGGATTTCCGTTGTAAACCTGACTCGCATGACCTTTATTAGTAAATCTAAGCTTTTGTCCTTCCCTAATTCCCTGAGGAATTTTGACTTCTTCTTCAACTTCAACATTAGCAATGGTTCCTTTTCCATCACAAGTCTGGCAGGGCTGTCTGATAAAATGTCCAGCTCCTTCTCATTTCGAACATGCTTTCTTCAACCCAAAATTAGTCAGAGAATATCCCCGGCCTCCTCATTCAGCTCAAATGCTAGGAGAACTATCTGGATCAGCTCTTGTCCCTTTACAGACCTCACAGACCACGTCTTTTACTATTTTAAAGGTATGATTTCACCCGTGGACAGCATCCATGAATTCAAGATGAAGCTCTAACTCAATATCTTTTCCTCGAGTAAGATCACTATCTTTCGGAGTTGCGCTTTGCTTACCAGTGAAGAAGAACTCATCAAACACATCACCTTCTTCCTTCCGCTGCTTGAAATCTTGTTCAGTCTCAAACCCGGCATCCCAAAACCCTTGACTTTCAGTCCTATCCTGAGCTTGTGGACGTCTTCTTCTCCTCTGTGAAGGGTCAGAAGCACTATAACTCTCATCCCTAAATCCGCTCCAGTCACCCCTACTCGAGTAATCATTCTCTAGATCATAAAGATCCCTCTGCTTCGAATCGGAGAGTACTTCATAAGCTTTCTGGATTTTACCAAACTTGTGCTTGGCAGCAGCAGAGGAGTTCACATCTGGGTGGTATTTATTTAGCCAATGCATAATATGCCCGCTTTATTTCTACTCTCTTAGCCGTCCTTTTGACTCCAAGGATTTCATACATCTTCGGCTTAGCCATTCGGTCTTTAATTAATTATTCAATATTTTGAACTAGCTGAGGGGTTTTGGGGTTTTGGGGTTTTGGGGTTTTGGGG